CACAGCCGACCTGCACTCACCCCAGCGTCTGTGTCTCCTGCCCGCTGCCCTGAGCCGTACCAGGCATAGTACTGACCGAGGATGCCACCCAGTGGCATTGTGGCAGGTGCCACCTGCAGTGGAAATGCTGCCAACAGAACTGTGGCACTGAGCTTTCTTCTAAGCTTCTTATTTTATACTTTCAGAACAGACCTATTATAGATTCAGCTAGTCATAAATTCTTTTCTTGTCACAGAATGCACAGGAAGTAGGAATGCCAGAAATTGGCTTGGGTCCTTCAGGAATTTTGCATTTCAAGTCTGATCCCTGTCTTTGCCGGCGGCGTCCAAGGCATTGGGGCTGTTGGTGATGAAGCATCTCTCAGGAGACTGTGTACAGAGCTCACTGTCATATAAGTGGCGTCTTTAGAAACCTTTGTTACAGGGACTGGCACCACAACATTGTAGGCTAATCTTCTGCCAATGGTGTCAGCATCCCATGGAGGTGCCTGTTCAAGTTCTGGCCACTCCACTTCCAACCTAGCTTCCTACTTATGGCCTAAGAAGGAGGAGGAAGGCCTAAGTCCTTGAACCCCAACACCCATGTGGGAGACTGGAAGAAGTTCCTGGCTCCTAGCTTCAGATTAGCTCAGCTCTGAGGGTCAACAGGTGGCCGTGCCGGCTCTTCTCTGTGCAGACAGACCGCTATGGACAGGTCCCCCTCCACACAGCTCGAATGATAGGAAGGCGGCACCTGTTCATCTGGTGGACAGTTGGAAGCTTCTGGAAGATCCCCCAGAGCAGAAAGGCCCTGAGAAACAGCAGCACTGGAGAAGGGTTTGAGATCTGCGCCCATGCAGGACATAACAAGAACATGCTGCGTAGAGGACGGCGTACCCCGCTTACACAGCCTAGTGACATCATGGCGTCCTGATGGGCGGAAGCTACACAGCGCTAAGTCACTTGACCACACCGTTCCAGGAGGAGGCCCTGGCGCTCACACAGTGCACAACGGCCAGTACACACACCCCTTTTACACAGCCTTTCTTCAGCTGCCTTTCTTCAGCCCCCCACCCCCACTCCAGAGCCCCACATTCCCAGCTGTTCCCATTGGCTGCTCTCTCCCTAAAAGGGGTTCTGTTTATTCCGTGGGACTCAGAGCCTGGGGCAGGCGGGAAAACAGGCAGGGGAGGGGGTCTGTGGAGGAAGGCAGCAGGGGAATGGATGGAGGCAGAAGGAAGGACCTGGGGGCGCGAATGAGCACCCAGACGTCCCGAAGAGATGAGCCAGCGCTGAAGATTTCTGAGTAGATTCTCAAGGCTGCCAACAGAATATCCCCATTTTTGAGTAAAGGCATGAATCTGTCTCTAAAATGTCACATTTGTTCAGCGGACACCAGAAAGAATACTACTAGCCTGGAGCTCAAATGGTCTGCAAGCTGCACCGGCATCTCTCTCTCCCCCCATCAGAGAAGAGGATGCGAGGACAAAGAAAGGGCGAAGCAGTGCGGAGGTGCCTGGTCCGTGGTGAATTGGTAATGAACAAGGTTGGAGCCGCCTTTTGTTTCCCATCTGAGAGAGAGAGCAACTGCGGGACTGAGCACCAATCACTCAGGACCTTGGCAGTGACAAAGCCCGCCCCTTCCTACAGGAGCGCGCCCAGGGCGCAGGCCGGCTCGGCGCCTGCTGCCACCTGCTGCAGAGAGGGAGGCAGTGCACCTGCCGGCGTGCCTCAGCACCGGGCAAGGGCGGCTGAGGGAGTGGAGTTGGGGCGATAATTGGGAAAGGAAAGGGTGGACACCCACTTCCCCTGACTCTGCTGTCTTCAGATACAAGCAAGACCCTCTCCCCACTAGCCAAAAAAAATTGTCAGAAGGATAAGATTTCAACCAAGTTTTCTTAAATGTATGCTTATGGAATAGTATTTATTTAAAAAAGGAAGTAAATTCTGGGTGCTGCTATGATGTTAAAGAACCCTAAGGACACACAGACATCAAGGGTGACCAATTGGTCTGGCCTTTAAGGCTAGTTAAGAGGACCCAGCACGAAGTCCCAGTGGCTAAATCCTCACCTTGACATGCACTGGGATCCCATGTGGGTACTGCTTTGTGTCCTGGCTGCTCCACTTCCCATCCAGCTCCCTGCTTGTGGCCTGGGAAAGCAGCAGAGGATGGCCCAAAGCCTTGGGACCCTGCATCCATGTGGGAGACCCTGGAAAGCTCCTGGCTTCAGATTGGCTCAGCTCTGACCATTGTGGACACCAGGGGAGTGAAGCAACAGATGGAAGATCTGTCTCTCCTTCTCTCTCTCTGTGACTCTTTCAAGTTAAATAAATCTTTAAATTAAAAAAAAAAATTTGCTGCATAGTTCTATTTATTTGAGGAATCTAAAGGGGAAATCATTGTTTACCAGGTAAACATTTTGTAAGATGGGAAGTCTGGGACTGGTTGCACAACAATGCAAACACATTCACCACTGCTGAATTGCATACCTACAAACGGCTCAAATGACAGATGTTGTCAAGTATGTTTTGCTAAAAATGAAAAAAAATGGAGCCTGTGCATCCTTTTAGAATAGCTAAAAACGAGGCAGGCATGTGGCACAGTGGGTGAAGCTGTTGCTCGGGACCCCCGCATCTCTTGAGTGTTCTGAATCTGATCTCACTGCCTGTGAAAGCACAGCAATGATGGCTCAGTCGGATGCTTGCCGTTAATGTGGGGTACCTGGGTGAAATTGTCAGCGCCCAGCTTGGGCCTGGCCAGCCCTGGCTGCTGCATGTATCATGAGAATGAACCAGCAGCTTTGTCTCTTTCTCTGCCTTTCAAAAAATTAAATAAAAAGAAAAGATGTTTTTCATGAGCCTTTGGCAATCCCCTTGTATAATCGTTAAACAAAGCAAAACCCCTTCCTCATCAGGAGAGGCGGCTGTCAGCTTGCAGTGGAGACTGCGAAACTAACAGGTCTTAAAACTAGGTGTCCTTCGAGTTCTGTTCATGGTCTATGCTGAACTTGGAAGAAAATCCCGCTGGTAGACCTGGGTACGGAGAAACAGTCAGGACCTCAGGGTGGGAGCGCAGGTTCCCCAGTTCACGATGAAGAAGTACAGGAGGCGACTTGGCCAGGAGTCCTTGATTTTAGCCAGAGAAACATGGACTGGGGCGTGCGGATGGCCAGCTACAATCCCACCCTCAGCCTGCAGGGGGCAGCATCTCTCCAGCAACCGCCATATCATGTCCTTAAAAAACACTGCAGGGTGCACATTTAATTGGTTAAGAACAAGCTTTTGTTTTTACAAATTAAAAAAAAAAAATCAGATCGATGTATTTCCAGTAAGGAGTTTCCACCCCTATATATTTTCACTTGGAGAGGCCAGTCTTTTTCTATTTCCTGCCGTAGGTACTTAGCAAGCTTTTAACAAATAAACACTTATGGGCTGATCTTGTTGAAGATAACCCAGACTTGCCTGAGGCATTTAAAGCCCAGGGTGAAAGTTGGAGGAAAGGAAGGAAGGAGGGACTGGTACATCCGATGCTGTGAACGGCCGTGCACTCCCACAGGCATGTTAAAAATGTAACTGCCAACAAAAAGGAAAAAAAAAAAGTATCTGCCACGGTGGTCATACTAACAGGTATACGGCTTCAGGGTGATGAGGCAATGAAGGCTCGATGAGGGCTCTGCCTTCATCAGTGGGTTCACTATTGCAGGAGGGGGTCTCTCACCCCTTTGCCCTCCCGCCAGTCGGTGAGGAGACAAAAAGGTTGACCCCATTCGCCAGCACCTTGATCTTGGGAACAGCCAAAGCTGTAAGCCAACGACCCCACCTCAGCTGTGGCAGCACAGACCAATCTCAGGCCCGCTCTTTCCTTTCTGCTGAAATTGGAAATATCCACAGAGATCTTGCTCCCAAGGCAAGCCACCAGTCACGTAATTCTTTGGGAACAACCAAAAATAACGGTAGCTTGGGTGTGTCTATGTTCCCGCCATTGGATAAAGCAGTGCGGGTTTATGCAGGTTTCTACGTGGACTCAGCCCTCTCAGACACATTGTTCCCTGGGTACCCGACCCGACTCCCGAAAACTGGCTGAAGCCACAGTTGGGAAAGGGCCACAGCGATGTGAATGTCACCAAGCACTCCTGCGCAGGGGCAGGGCTGCCCTGCAAGGGTGTGTGTGTGTGTGATCTCCCTGCAGGCAAGTGTGTATTCCCCAGTCCTCTTGCTGCAGGACAGTCTATGGGCTCCCCTGGGGTGGGGATGGAGCCCGCAGCTTCCCCTGGCCCTGCACCACCACTTGTCCCCCTCTTAGAACATCTTGGCTTCCCAAGCAGCCCAGACTCTGCACTGCGCACTGAACACCGCCAGAGTCCCAAGAGTGCCCTGGTGGCCGATGGCTCTCTCTTCTGCAAGTCCAACAGACCCCTGCCTGGCCGCAGGCCCATCTGCTGGGGTCCGCGGTCACTCAACCTCAGCGGGGCAAGGTTCTGAGGGACAGGAGGCAGATGGCTGCCAAGTGGGGAGACATCTGTGGTCTCACGCCCAGCTGTGGCCACAGCCACCTTCTTCCTTCCTGGGTTTTCATCACGTCCCCTGGCAGAGCCTCATCCCACAGCCAGTGCAGGCAAGGCTGTGGCCCTGTGCCCTGGGCTGCCAGCCCACCGCCTTTTCTTCTCGACCCCCAACATGTGGTGTGTCTGTGAGGGCAGAGGTAAAGAGAGGGCCAGAAACCCAGGGATGGGGGAAAGGGAACTGGGATGTGAAAGGCAGGGTCACAGCAGGCGTACAGTCCTCCCCAGGGAAGAGACACCTTGACCCGAAGGAGCCAAGGCCACCGAGAGGAGCCTTCCTCACCCCCGCCCCAGCCCCTGAGCCAGCCAGCTTGGGCCCCAAGGAGACAGCCGGCTGGCACTGAGGGAGAGACAGGCCCCAGATCCACCAGGAGAAAAATGAGGTGAAGCCAGGCCTCCCCCCGCCAGGCCATCCCCTCCCGGTGGAGAGCTGATCCCGGAGGCTTGGGAAGGGTCCACGTCACTTTCCAGCGCCGCTGCTGCCACGAGGGAGCGCAGAAGGGGCGGCAGGCTGGGCCGCCATGATGTGGTAGATGGACTCCCGGAAGCGCTGGTCCCGACTGAGGCGCTTGGCCACTTCCTTCAGCTCCTCGATGTTGTTGGCCTCCAGCTGGGAAGTCATGAAGGACTCGGAAGGCTTCACTGGGAAGACAGCGCCCGTTGGGCCTGCACTGAAGGTCCAAGGCCCGACCCCACCTCCACCCCAGGTGCTGGCTGGGGGCTTCCCCCCTGGGCTCCTGGGACTCCAAGAAACCCCAGACTATTTGCCCAAGGCTGCTCGGGCCAAGTTCCCCGGAGCTGTACTGGCCAGGCTTGGTGCAGGACCAGCGCTGCCTGCTAGCCACGCTGTCCCTCCCCCAGCAGGCCGTGGCCACCCAGCCCGCACTCACTGTCATTCCAGGAGGTGCTGGAGCGGCGCCGGTGGAAGCGGCAGCTCTTGATGCGGCGCGTGGCGGCCTTGTGGATGTACACCGAGTTCTTCATGATGACTGGCATCTTGGCTTCCAGCTCGGCGTTCCGGATGCATTCCTCAAAGAACCCTGCGGCCAGGCCCAGGAGGGGTGAGTGCCATCCGCAGCCTCCTCTCTCCCCCCACCCGTCACCTCCCAAAGCCCCGGTGGGTGCAGCTGGCCTAGGTTGAGTCCATTGCAGAGCCACCTGCAGAAGGGGCCCCCAGGCCCCTCCAGCCGCAGTCTGTAACCTTCTCACACAGGTCTGCCCCAAAGGAGCTCTGAGACTTAAGAAGGGACGGAAGCTCCAGGAGTCCCACTCCCTGCACCCCAGGCCACCAGCTGGAAGGAAGCAGTGCCCCATGCCAGTAGGCAGCGTGGAGCAGGATCCCATCGTGCAGCCTACTTGCCAGGGCTGGGGTAGGGATAGGGCAGTTGGGGGAGGGGCAGTGCAGGAGGGCAGAGCTTACTTTTCAGATGGCTAACATCCGCCCGCATCCTCTCCTCCTTCTCCTTGTTCCGCACCTTGGAGTTGAGGCCTTGTTCCAGACTCCGCAAGGCGCCCTCTGCCTCCCGCAGCCGCTTCTCCAGGTCCATGCGGACCTTCACCTCAGCCTGAGCAAAGCGGGGGAAGTTAAGGGAGAGGCTGGGTAAGCTTTCCCAGATTCCTCTTGGCTCAGTGGGCTGGGGTGGAAGTTACTAGAACCAGCCTCCGTGGCTGACAGCCAGCAGCCATCTGTACCCAGGCTCACCGCTTCCCCTCCTGTGGCTCCTCCTCCATCTCCCCGGGATGGGACCTGCTTGCCAAGTGCGCCCAGATCACTGGGAACCTTGCAGAGTGTAAGGAGGGGCCCAGTCCCCTGGGAGGGAGGGAGACACCCCCGCACCCTGAGCTCCTGCTCGGCCTGCTGCTTCTCCGCTGTCAGCTCCTGTAGTGAGTTCTGCAGCGCCTGTGACTGGCTCGAGTAAAACTCCCGCTCCTCCTCCAGGGCCCGTGAGCGCGCTTCATTCTCCTTCATCCTGCAGGGGCGCAAGAGGGGGCTGTGACCTAACTGCTCAGTGACCAGAAGCAAGGGGAGGCTGGCCCTTCCCAGACACCTGGCTGGGGAAAACCTCCAGCTTTCCCTGAACTTTCTGGGACACCACCCAGATGACGGCAGGGACAGCCTGATGGGAACCCCCTGCGTAGACTGAGGTCCAGGACCCAGGGCTTGCCGGTTCTGTGGCCTCATCAGAGGAGCCCTCTGGGGCTGTTTCCTCATAGGTACCAGGACCTGAGAGACTCAGCCCAGTCTGCCAGGAGCACCCGACTACAGCCCTCGACAAAATGACTAAGTCGGCTGTGGGCAATGCATGGTCTCTTCCCGTCCGCCTAGTGGGCAAACTGAAGAGTCAGCAGAAAGAATGAAGAGTCCGGCGTGGCCAGTGCCAGTGAGAGCCCAGGGGTTGTGAGCACCGGCTGGAGGCGCTCCTCACCGCTTCTCTGCCAAGAGCTTCTCCTCCAGCAGCTGCCTCATCTTCTCCTCAATCTGACGGAGGTTGTTCTGCAGGCTGCCGCTGGGCGGGGGCGGCTGCGGCTGGTTCTCGTTCTCCTCCAGCATCTCCAGGGTTTTCTTTTTCTCTAGGGAGAGCTCCTGGGCAGGGGGAGGAAGGAGAGCAGGAGGCGCGTGGGTGGCTGCCCTCACCTCCGTTTTCATCCCTCCTCTCTGTCTCCTGTGATGGACACCAAAAATATTTCCTCCCCCTCAGGTACAAGGCCAAGATCTCCCTTACCAACCACAAACACCAGGTGGTACTGCTGTGATTTCATATGGTTTAAGTGTCCACCAGTATTGTGTGTATTAAAATTAAACTTGTCAGGCCTGGCACGGTAGACTAGAAGCCAAAGTCCTCGCCTTGCATGCGCCTTGATGCCCACATGGGTGCCAGTTCGTGTCCTAGCTGCTCCACCTCCCATCCACCTCACTGCTTGTAGCCTAGGAAAGCAGTAGAGGACAGCCAAAAGCCTTGGGACCCTGCACCTGCTTAGGAGACCCAGAAGAAGTTCCTGGCTCCTGGCTTCAGATCAGCTCAGCTCCAGCTATTGCGGCCACTTGGGGAGTGAACCAGCAGATGGAAGATCTTTCTGTCTGTCTCTGCTTCTCTCTGGAAATCTGTCTTTATAATAACAATAAATAAATATTTTTTAAAAAAGCTAAATCTGCCTCCCCACTTTGTAAATCTGCCTTTCAAATAAACATAAATAAGTCTTAAAAAAAAATACTCATGGGAACCACCTGCCATAATGTGACGATAAGGACACAAAGGCACCCCAAGCAAAGGCCCAGTCATTGAATAGAAATGAGAAAGCTGCTTGGTTGTCAAGGCAATCAGTGGGTTCAGTAGCCTGCACGGGTCATGTCCCACACCCCGGGCTCTCTCCAGGCGCTGGGCTGAGTCTGGTGAAGTTCACAGCTTGGAAACCTAGAGTGTGAAGTCTCACACCAGCTGCACAAAATGCCACGGGCGCCCTGGGCTCAGAGCAAGCACCTGCACAGAGCCATCCGAGGAGGCTGGCTAAGGAGACATTGGAACTGAGTCTTAAGAGGATGCATAGGAGTCGTCCGGGCAGAGAAGAAGTGGGAAGGTTGTGATGCATAAAAGAACAGCGTAAGGAGGCTGCAAGAGCTTGGCTTCCCCGGGGCACAGAGCTCAGGGGCTGGAGCAGGGGTTGCACGGCTTTGCAGGCAGAGGAGGGCGGCAGAGCGGGGTGGTAAGGGAAGAGAGCTGGGACCGCTATCTGCACTTTGTCCTGGGCACACACCACCTGTTCATGAGCTATTATTAGACATAGGTGACCTGGCAGTTCATTTTCATTCTTGTTCAATTTCACACAGCAGCACAAGAAGGACGCAGAAGATGGCTCCACAGTCTACTCTAACCGTCAGCCTTAAAGAGGGTGGATTTCCTGACTGATCCTAGCAGGGGCAAGCTGGGATTTGCTCCCTGAGTCTGAAATCAACCAGTGCCTGCTCTGGGTCTCAGGTGCTGCCTGGGGCAGTAACCCAGGGGCATATAGCCTTTCAGTCCGTGCCCCTTGGGCTCTGCTTGCTTTGCAGATAATCCATGAGGAACACTGTAAGCTAACCAGCATCAGGTGGCCCACCCGGTGGGCAGCAGCTCTCACCTCCAACGTCTGCTGCAAGGATTCCGTGAGCTGCCTCAATTCCTTCTTCTCTTGCTCCACGCCCTTGAGGCACCGAGCGGTCAGTTCCAGCTCCCTGTGGGCACGGAGGGCGAGATGTGGCAGTGCCCACCTCCCTCCAACCTCCTCCCCACAAAGAAATATTTCCATGTCCCCTCTCAATGGGGCCCCAAAGTATGCCTGGTGGCCAGCCCCTCGGCATGCCTGGATCCCAAAACTAAAGGAAGGAAATCCCAGCCAAGCAAGGCTGGAGTCACCTGCTCCAGGGGTACACTCAGCCTGTCACAGTGATGAACCTGAGGTTACTCCAAGGCAAAGAGAGGCGTCTGAGAATGAAAGGGCCTCACTCCACAGCCCCAAGCTCCCTAGACAGCATGTGTAACATCCGTATGCATTCTGACATTGCACATGGCTAAGGCTTCTTTCTGGGATGACAAATTGAAGCTATATATGTGGGAAGACCACTTGTGATTTTTCCCTCTCTTAAATACCTGTCTAACTGACTCTCTTTCATAAGGCTGTTGCAAGAAAAAAATGTACAAGATATCACTAAGAAAAAGTGGTGGTAGTGATGATGATAATGGTGATGAAGGTGGTGGCAGCAATGATGGTGATGGTGGTGATAGTGACACCATCCAACTAAAAGGTATGGCAATGATGGCAGCAATGATCGTGATGGTGGTGGTGGTACTAGTAATATCACCAGTTGGGTGATCGGGTAATGATGGTTAATGATTATGGCAATGGGCATGTTGATGCTGAAGGTGATTATCAATATCACCCAGGGCACTAGTCATCAAATTTCTGGCTAGACCACATCAGAATCACCTGAGGTGCTTTTTTAAAAATATGATGGCTGGATAACACCTTTGAGAGATTCTAATTCAGTCAGTAAGCATAACATGTAAACACAAGGCGGTTTCAAAAGGTTCATGGAGGGACAGCATTGGGGTATAAGTGAAACAGCAATATCCCCTATGGGCACCAGTTTGAGTCTTAGCTGCCTCTCCTCTTCCAACCCAGCTCCCTGCTAATGCACCTGGAAGAGCAGAGGAAGATGACCCAAGTGCTTGGGCACCTGCCACCCGAGTAAGAGACTCAGATGAAGTCCTGGCTTTGGCCTGGCCCAGCCCTAACTTTTGCAATCATTGGGGGAGTGAACCAGTAGAGAGAATCTCTGTCTATCTATCTCTCTCTTTCAAATAAATAAAATACATCATTAAAAGTTCATGGGAAATGATTGTTAGAGAAAAACTATACATGAATTTCAAAGGTTTTTTTTTTTTTTTTTTTTTTTTTTTAAGCACCAAAATAAGGATCTTTTAATTCTTCCAAGCACTTTTTTCAGGACCGTCACACATGTGCAAGTGACAGCATAGGAAAGACTGCATGACAAAAGAAGAAGTAGGGGGTCGGTCTTGGCCCTCCAAGCCAGCCTGCTCCTGTCTGACACAGAGGAAGAGGCATCCAGGGGAATAGGCATATTGCTCAGAGGGGTATCTGCCTGCAGTCACCCACGCCGCATGCTATAGGCAGCAGAAATGACCCATTTGCGGGGATGGGAGTCCTGTCTCTCCTTTTGGGCACCCCAAAGGCCCAAGCACTGGATGGACTCAACAAAGCGGTAAGCCCTGGGTGGAACCCTCTCCAGGCCTGGCTGTGGGCTCTGCAAGGCCAAAGTGGGACACAGCTTCCCCTCCCCTCTTCCTCTTCCCCCCTGCCCTCCTGCAGCCAGCACCATCACCTCTTGATTTGCTCCTGCTCCATTCTCAGCTCCTGTACCACCTCCTCAAACTGCTGCTTTTCAGCCTCCAGCACCTGGTTAAGGCGCTCCAGCTCCTGCACAGAACCAGAGAGGAAGAATCAGTGGTAGCCGGGGATCCCAAGATCAGGAACCCCCACTCTGACCCAAGGGACTCCCTGGGATTGACGATGGTCTGGGGCCTAGGCTGGACCAGACTTGGAATGAAGACCTGAGGAGCCCTGGCACCACTCAGTGACATAGTCTTCACAAACTCCAAGTCTGCAATGGAACTTGACTGGTAAGAAGGCATGTGGCATGCGGAAGGTAGAACTTAGAAATGATCCTGATGTTATTTCCCATGGCTGGATGTGCCTGGAAAGCCAGACATCTAATCCCCTGTGTGCTCCAGGATACCATCCTGATCCCTAAGGCAGATTGACTGGCCCTTCAGCCCACTGAAGGAGGTGAACAGGCACTTCCAGGAAACATCCCTTTGCTAGAAGTGGCAAAGAGAAGCCATTCCCAACTCAAAAGTTAAGGAGTAGGATTTTTTTCCCCATGGCATCTGGCGGGCAATGAGCATGAGTGTGTTCATTCTGTCAGTCCCAGCAGCGGGGAAGGGCCATGAAGCCCATGATACATCCCAGGGCACTAGCCTAGCATCACCCAGAAAGGCTGTGCCCTCCCCCCCCGGGGATTCTTTTGTTTGGAAGTCCAATGGCAAGTGGTATGGGCGTGGGGATACATTTCTGGTAAGGTTTGGCTTGAAGTATTTTTATGACAACTGCTTTGTCTCTCCACATTTTGCACCATGGGGATATGGGGGCAGGAAGGGGAGAATTATTCCTACATCCACTTTCTCATTTTCTAGTTCCAAATTGCACTCTTCATTTTTAGCTGGGGCCTTTGTTCTCAAATACAGTGGAGACCCACAGGAAGCAGGACTGCCCACAGGAATGAGCTGCCATTGGCTTGAGATGTGGAGAAGGTTTAATACATAGAGTCTGATTTAAAGCCCTGGCCCTGACCTCTACCCCTAACCTGCTTCACCCATACAAACACTATTCCCTTCCCTTTTAGTCACTGTTGGTGTCAGGACACGGCTCATTCATTATAAACCAGTCTCAGTTCGCCAAACGTTGTCCTCCCAAAAGACACTCACTGGCATTATGAAAAAATTAGAGATTTCAAAACATTTTTTGCACCCAAAACCCCTCATCTGTGCATTCCATTTTCTATAAGCTTGTTGAAGTGCCTTCATATCCTGAGGCTGTACCTGGGCACACTGTGTGGCTGCAGGGCACCTGTTCCTGCTGGGTGGGCCGGGAGACTGGGTGAAGTCCATGCAAGGAGTGTACGCAGAAACAGGGTAATTCCATCAGTGCCCTTACTAGACCGGGGGTGGCGTGCTGGGGTCTCTTCCCCTGCCACTAGCAAGAGCAGAGGCTCCTCCAGCCTGGATCCCCAGGAATGGGGAGCAAAGAGTGGAACTCGCAGCTGACTGCCACCCTGGAGTGAGAACTGCAACTTTGCTGTTAAAAGCCACACATACCTAGGGATACGTTTATTGCAGAGGACATAGACTAGCCTGCATCTAAAGAGTTAAAATCTCATCTTGTCAAACCCCTTTTTTAATAATAAAAATGTTCAGAGCTTCAAAAAAGCTTGAAACTCCTCTATTCGAATAAGAGATATCTTCAAAACGTTCGTGGAAAATGCATACAAGTAAAAAAAATTCAGTGCCATAACAGGTCAATCCTTCAATGCAGTGCTGGCATTCTATATGGTGCTGGTTTGTGTCCCAGCTGCTCCACTTTCAATTCAGTACCCTGCTTATGAACTGGGAAAACAACGGAGGATTCTGTATCCACATGGTAACACCAGAAAGAAGTTCCTGGTTCCTAGCTTTAGATTGGCTCAGCTCTGGCTGTTGCAGCCATTTGGGGAGTGAACCAGTACATTGAAGAGTTCTCCATCATCTCTCTCTGTAAAATCTGCCTTTCAGATAAAAATAAAATAAACTTGTTAAAAAAAAAAAAAACTATGCATGGATTTCAAAACTTACTACACGGAAATAAACATGTCTGCCATTTTCCCAGAAACTTCTTGAAGCCCCCCATACATTCTCAGTAGCTGACACATGTATTACTATTGATCAACTTCTCTCTATTCCCAGATTCTAACAGAGCTGACCGTGACATCGTCGAAGCCCTTTGTCATAGTGTACAACTCTCCACAATGGTGTCTTTTTGTATTGCACACGAGATTACCAATGGCCGGCAGTCCTTAGGTGACAGGATGGGGACTGGCCAGCCGAGAGTCAGAGAGAGGTCAGAGGACAGAGATTTTCAGCCTCATTACCAAAAGCTGGTTGAGTTGATGGCCAAAGGTCAATGATTTAACCAGCCACGCCCATGTGGAATCTCTAGGTGAACCTCCCAGGACTGGTTTGGGGCCCTGGGCAGTGGAGGAACCTGGAGGGTGGCATTCCCCAGCAGGGTGGAGGCTCAGCATCTTTGCCCAGATGCCTCACCCTCCACATCTCTTCACTGGTGTCCTTTGCAATATCCTTTATAACCAACTGGCAAATGTGTTTCCCTGAGGTCTACAAACCACTCTAGCAAATCGGTCAAACTCAAGGAGGGAGGTCAAGGAGAACCCCAATTTCCCTGATATTCTTCTCCCACTTGCAATCATTTTCCTTTGCGTAACAGAACCCTGAGCTGTCTCCTCGCAGCTGATGGTAGCAACAGGTGACTGATGAATGTCCTTCCTCTGCCTAGCATTGATGAGGATTCTTCAGATACTTTCATGGAATAATGGAATTAAACAACAAGTTCATTTTTGTGTCACAATTTTGGAAACTCATACATAGTGTTTTTCATAATTCACATGTCCAGGAGATGCTAAAGGAGGGGCTCAAACCCCAGACAGTGAGGTGAGCCAGGATGGAAAGCTCCATGCACTGCTGGCGGCAGTGTCAGTCAAAGATTCCGGAAGGCAATTTGGCAACTGCATCAGGAATCTTCCAAGCTCTTGCCATTTGTAGCTGGCATTTGGTGCAGCAGCCAAGTCACTGCTTGAGATATGTGCATCCCATATTGGACAGAGGGCCTGGCTCCTATGCCTTCCAGCCCAGCTTCCTGCAAATGTACATCCTGTGAGGCAGGAAATGATGGCCCAGGTGTACTTGGGGCCCTGCCACCCACATGCTAGATGGATTCCTGGCCATGGCTGTTGCAGTCATCTGGGGAGAGAACCAGCAGTTGGAAAATCTCTTTCTTTGTCTCTTCACTTCCCACACCTGCTACCTTTGCAATGACTGAGTCTGGTACCCAAGCAGACCTTAAGAAACAGCAGTGATGAGGTTTCTACCACACTTATGGGAGACCCAGATTGTGTTCCTGGCTTTAGCTCTGCCCCAATCCCAGACATTGTGGGCGCCTAGGTAGTGCAATAGCAGGAGAGAGTTCTCCTCTCAAATAAGTAAAAAAAAAAAAAAAAAAAAAAAAAAATCACTAAAAAATTTCCTAAGAGGGTAGTATTATAGAAGCTTCATGAAGCCACCACCTGCAGTGCTGACATCCCATATGGGAGCTGGGCTGAGTTCCAGCTGTTCAACTTCTGATCCAGCTTCCTGCTGATGTGCCGGGAAAGCAGCAGAGCATGGTCCAAGTCATTGGGTCCTGGCACCATGTGGGTGCCTGACCTAGAAGAAGCTCCTGGTTCCTGGCTTTGGTCCAGCCCAGCCCTGGTCATTTGGCCATTTGGGAAATGAACCAACAGATGGAAAAATGTCTGTCTGTCTCTTCTTCTCTCTCTGTAACTTTGTCTTTCATTGCAAAGTCAGATAGAGAGGAGGAAGATATTCTGTCTGCTGATTCACTCTCTTTGGCCACAATGACTAGAGCTGAGCCAATCCAAAGCCAGGAGCCAGGAGCTTCTTCTAGGATTCCCACACAGGTGCAGGGTCCCAAGGCTTTGGGCCATCCTCCACTGCTTTCTCAGACTACAAGCAGAGAGCTAAATGGGAAGTAGGGCCACCGGTACACAAACTGGTACCCATATGGGATCCTAGTGCATACAAGGCAAGCACTTTAGCCCATAAAATAAATCTTAAAAAAAAAAAAAAGAAACAAACAAAAACCATTTTAAAACCTTGTTTTCAAATAATGTTGAATGAAAATGGTGTGTTAGTTAAAGTGTCATAAAAAAGCAAACCACAAATCTGAATATATCCAAGATAATGTTAGAGATACATTATATAAAAATAATACATGGGGGAAGACTGAAATGAAAAACACTAAAAACTTGGCAGCAGTTATCTGTTAATTACATTAAAAGGGACAAAGTGTATTTGCTTATGCATATTTTTCCATGCTTGCTACAAGGAGCAGCAGGAGAAATGGTAGTCTCTTACCACTAAGAAGGAAAAAGAATCTTGACTTCAGCCTAGACTGGCCTGGCCCTAACCATTGAGAGTTTTGGGGGTGAATGGTGTGAACTAGCAGTTGGAAAATCTGTGTGTGTTTGGTAGGGGAGGGAGGCTGAGTTTCCCCACCGCTCATCACTCTGCCTTTCAAATAAATAAACAAACATTTTAAAAAACAATTAGAGCAGCAACCGCTGATGTAGAAAATAAGAAATCAAGAAAGAAAATCAACAAAAACCCCACAATCTGTTGTTTCTGGATCACTAAAATCTATAAGCCTCTAACCAGTAGGAATAAGAGAGAGAGAGAAACCAAGTCACAAGTTACTAATTTCAGAAATGGACGAGAAGAGGGAACATCACTACACACTCCACAGACAAGAAAAGGTCAGTAAAGCGATATCGCAAACAAGTACATGCCATAATCGTGTAGCTAATGGGGACTGTTCCTGTCAAAACTCACAAGAGAAGAAATGGATAATGTGAACAGACCTAACTACATTCAAGAAACTGAATCAAGAATTAAGAACCTTCCAAAATGGAAAGTAGAAGGCCCAGATGGGTTGACTGGTAGATTCCATCAGACATTTAAGAAAGACATGATATGTCTTTATATGCTCTTCTGGAAGATTAAAGTCTAGGGAATACTCCATAATTCATTCTAGATTGCCCCTAAAATCAAAACCTGGAGAACATAGTATAAGAAAATAAAACTGGGGCTGATGTGATAACTCAACTGGCTAATCCTTCATCTGCAAGAACCAGCATTCCATATGGGAACCAGTTTGTGTCCTGGCTGCTCTATTTCCAATCCAGCTCCCTGTTTATGGCCTGTGAAACCAGCAGAAGATCATCTAAAGTCTTAGGACCCTTCACCCTGAAGAGTCTCCTGGCTCCTGGCTTTGGATCTACTCAGCTCCAGCTGTCCTGGTCATCTAGGGAGTAAATCAGCAAATGGAAGATCTTTTTCTGTCTCTCCTTCTCTCTGTAAATCTACCTCACTAACAAAAATAAACAAATCTTTAAAAAGAACTAAAAAAGAAAACTATAGTCTGATACTGCTCATGAACATAAATGTAAAAATTCTCAGCAAAATTTTATCAATCCAAAACCAATGATATACAAAAAATTCTATTCTACTACCAAGTGAGATTTATTCCAGGTGTACAAAGCTGGTTCAACATTCCAAAATCAATTAACCTTAGGGTAGGCAATGCTCTCTATCACTTTGCTTTTCAAAAAACGAAATCTTAAAAAAAAAAATTAAAGGTCACTCAAACTAACACCATATTTAGTGATGAAAAGCTCAAAGTATTTCCTCTAAAATCAGAAACAGGGCAGGGAGTTTCCCTCTTATAAGTGCTTGCTAACTTTCTCCTGGTAGTTCTAGAAATGCAGTAAGACGGGCAGGCATGACTTTGACCTCAGAGGGGTCAACTGACACGCTCAAGTTCACATCATAAGGGGTCAGGTGGGTCATGGGTCTCGCTTTCGACCATAACGTCCGTCTGAGACCACACAAGTCATCAGACATCGGGCCAAATGCCTTTCCGCACAGCTTGGGGCACATGCAGATGCTCTCCGAGTTGCAGAAGAGATGGGAGGATACAGAAACAGGATAAGCAAGCGAAGGAAGGAAAACCCAGCAGAAGCGTTCAGGTGTGGCCAAAGCAGAAACAGAATCTGACCCGCAAGAGGAACCTGGGAGGAAGCATCTCCTCAACTGCCCAGCCAGGCCTCCACTATAGGCACCAGCTGGGCCCACATTTGTACCAAAAAGACAAAAAAAAAAAAAAAGAGTCCACAAGCTTTCGGCTTCCTCCTTCAACGCGCTGTGGCACTAAGTGAGGCCTGTGTGTAGCAGATCTCCGCTGTCCTAATTTCCTGATAAAGACCTAGATAGAGTGTCTAAATTTTCCTCTAGCGGCCTGCTGCCCCAGATTTCTCCTCTCTGATGGATAAGTCAGTCTCCCTCCCCACTGGTGCCCAGGCTGTCACTCTGTGCCCCACTGGACTTCCAGAATCACCTGTTTTTAAGTTGCTAAGTGAACAGAAGAAGTCCCACCAGAAACATACGGGACCGTGCGAGGAAAACATGAAAACTTAAAGTCGGGACCTGGATGACAGACACGGAGGCCCATCCGTGGGGACAGAGAGGAGGGAGAAAAGAGACTCCATGCTGATCCTCAGGACCAGTCCTCAAATCTGTGCCTCCAAATAACATCCTTAATTGTTGTGGTGTGAATATTTTCTTCCCTTTATAATCAATAAGATGATTCAGAAGTCCTGCCAGGAGAGTAAATAGGCACAACTAACTGATCTGGGAAGAAGGAAAACAAAGGTGTATTTTTCTATCGGATTAAAGTCTTGGGGAAACGTGCTGCAAGAACCAAACCTGTGGGTTTAGGGCAGGCTTCCAGCCTAGCCAGGAACACACCTGTGTTTTGTGTCAATTCCTGACGCTGGGTCCCAACTCCAACTTCCTGCTAATACAGCCCTCCCTGGGAGGCAGTGGTGAGAACTCTAATAATTAGCTCCCTACACCCACATGGGATGCCTGGATTGAATCCCCGGCCCCCCAGTTTCCACCCTGAGCCTAACCCCAGCCACTGAGAGCACTTGGCCATTGACCAGGAGATAAGAGCTTTCTCTGGATGTAGATGGGCCGTCCTGTTCACACACTGAGTCATCCCATCAACATTGCTCAAGCACGCATCTCCCAGGGCTGTGCCAGGCCTATGAAGGGGACATGATGCCTCTGGGCTGTAGGACCCATTTGGGAGCTCCCAATACAAACTGGATGGGAAGGGCAGGGATTCCTGAGAGACAAAGTCACAGTCAGGCACTGAGCCAAGGCTGGTGGCGCTTGTCCAAGGACCGGCTCAACAGGCAAGAAACAAAGTGAGTGGGCAAAGAGAAGTGGGCTAACTTGGGCGCTCCTTCTGAGTGTCCTAACAAACCACTCTGCACCCTCAGGCCTCAGACAGTTCACAGTGGATCTGGTCTATAACTAATAGCAGCATCATAACACTACAACGCCATTGCGTGCATACTCTGCACCACGCACTTTTTATACACAGCTTCTCACTTGCCCCTCACAATATCAGTTCTATTATTACCCCCATTTTCCAGATGAGAGATTAAGTAACTTGCTCAAGGTCAGGACCAGTGTAGTGGCACAGTGGGTTAAGCTGCCCCCTTATAACACCAATATCACAGAGCACTGGTTCATGTCCCTGCTGGACATGAATCCCTTTCCTGGAAAGAAATGCACCTTGGAAAATAGCAGAGGATACCTTGAGTGCTTGGGATCCCACCACCCACCCCACAACATTCCAGGCTCCTGGCCCATCTCTGGCTAATGGGACTTGTTGAGGAGTAAACCAAGCGATAGAGGATCTCTTTGTCTCTTGGTCTGTTCTTCCCCTGGGTCACTTTTCTCTTTCAAATAAATTACTCAATCCTTTTAAAAAAATCACCCCCACCCCAAAACAAAGCAAAACAAACAAAACAAAACTTGCCACACTTTGCCCAAGGTCATACAATGAGAAGGTCAAACACAGGTCCGGGTGGCGTGGCTCCAGAGCCTGTATGCTGACCACTGCCCTGCCCTGCCCTCCGGGGGTAGTGATGGCATCTCCGGGCAGGCAAGGTCCACACTGCACACAGATCTGCACGGGAGAGCACTACAGCGGTGCTCCACCTCCCGATGACCCCAGAGCCTCCCCGTGGGTCCCTGCAGTGGAATCAGGCCTGCTGGGGACTTGTTCTCAGGATGTGACATGGAGGACATGAAGGCACCTCTGAGCTCATCAGACCAAATCAATCACACTCAGAAGCCCCTGTGTGGGAGAAGGCCATCACGACCTGCAGCGGACGCTGCTGCCATGCAGCTCCTTGCCTCCTGATGCCATGGATCATGTTTCTGGTTGGTTTCTTCTAGGGTCTCTCAGCTCACCCTTTGTACATTCCTTTCAGGGATTGGCTTCTCACCCAGAAGTAACACAAAGTCCCGCCCAAGCACGGTCAGTTCACATGGCTTCCTGCTCCTTCCCGTTCCTCCAGGGCCCAGCTTTCCCACCTTAATTTTCTAATACCAGGAACACAAGCAAGGACAATCCAGCCAATATGAAAGACCCTGGGCATCTACTGGGCATACCCACCTCTCTCTGTTCCCTCTGAAGACACAGTTCTTCCGTCTCTTCCATCAGTTTGTCTGCCAAGGCAAATGCACACATACACACACACATGAAAGATCCATTCCAGAGCCAAAGGCCTGGAAAGGCAGGGGCCCCAGGTGGCTCTGTCACCCCCGGCACTTACCAAGGAAGAGGTGCATCCTGCTACCCAGGGGTGGGGGCGGCTATGGTGACAGAAGCTGCTTCGCTGGCCTGCCCTGCGAACCTCCCATCCCTTCTGCTTTGAGTGCTCATAGGGTGGCTATAGCCCTCTGCTCTCTCCCAGCCATACTCATGTCTGGCCAGAAGGAGCGGGCAAACTGCTGTGGTGGGAGGGAGAGGTGCCTGTGTGCTTCCCACAAGCTCTTACAGGTGTTTTCTTGTGTTGCCTGGTTCCTGTACATGCCTAAAAGTTATGGGCTATTTCTCTCTCCATTTTAAGAGGTAGAAATTTTAGACCTAGACAGGCAGGCTGTCTAAAAACGCACATATCCACAACTCTTAAGTGACCAGGCTGGGGCCAAAGCCCAGGTTCCTAATTACTGGGCACCTCTGCCTCCAGCCACCCTGGCTAAAGAGAACATGTATTGCACCAGAAAACTCTCCAGGCATCAAGCTTGTCTCAGGCATCGCTTAGCTGGCCAGGTCCAGCCTGAGAAACCTGCATCTTCGATTGATATTCCCCCATCAAGCCCTGGGCTATATCATCAATCCAGCCCTCCAACCAACCTAAATACTCCTGCTTTTCCTTAGCCAACTGAAGCCCCTGGGCCTCCAGGCTTTTGATCATGGCTTCTCCCAGCTGGGCATTCTTCCAAGTCCTGGGGAAGGAGGACAGATGGGACAGAGGAGAGAAGCGGAAGAGACACAAAATCACTGACATTGAAGGGTGGAGGGGAATGCACCTGCTTTGGACTCATTCATCCTTCCTGAGCCTCAGTGTGCACTGTCTCTAAGAGCCAGGCTCAGCACCAGCATCCATCAGTTACAGTCACTGGAGGTTGGCTTGGGCTGCAAAATGCCTCCCCTCCCCACCCCCGCCGCACTTGCACAGTAAGGAAGAGATTTCTTGCCAGCAGACCATTGTCTACACAGCCGAATGCTCTCCATCTAGCACAAGGCCAGGTGCAGCACACAGTGCACTTGTTGGATGAAATGCAGGGCCCTGCTAGTGTCCACAGGGGTTGGGGCAGGGCTGAGCTATCGTGTGATCTGGATCCTGAGTTACAAAGCACTAGCTGAGGCCCCTGCTCCAGTTCATTTTGAGCCAGTGGAGTAGACAAGAATATGGAGAGGTGCCAACTCCAGCTTGGGATGTTGGGTCCACTCCAATGATGTCTACGCTGCCATCTTATGACTTTAGTCACGAGCCAGGTTCCCTTGGGTGGCCGTTATAGATGCTCCAAACCCTGGTTTGTCTCTGTGCCCATCAAGATTTCAGAGAAGAGGCAGGGAGTTCAAAGTCAACCAAGCCCATGCCCCACCCCCCCCAACCCTCCCTGGCTCACACACTTACACCTTCCCAGACTCCTGCAGCATCTCCAGCCACTGCGTCTGTTCAAACTCAGACTCTGCCGCCAGCAGGATGTTCCCCTGCCAGGGAGAGGGGCCATGGAAGCACCTGAGAGTCCCAGCTCTGCTCTCCCACCTCCACCCCCACAGCTTGGGACACCCCACCCCTCCCAGGCCAGGCTGCCCCAGACAGCGAAGGCAGCTTCACTTACATGGAAGTCCTGGTGGGAGATCTTCATGGCATAGGGCATGCTGGGCTCTTCCTTGGCCTCCACTAGGCAGCCCCCCAGGGGGATGACACCCTGAGGAAGAATCAGAACAAGCTGTCCCCACCCTGCCCAGCTCGGGTCATTCAGAGACCCTAGCTAAGAGCCATAGGCCAGAAGTCAGACTGTAGCAACAGGCAGCTCCACCACCCCCACCAGTCCTGCAGCCTCCTGGCATTCCCTCCATGGCCCTGCTAGCCCTCTCCATGGAGCCCTGGAGAGGGATTCCCTCACCTTGGGATGAATATTGAAGTACTTATTGGTCTCAAAGCTCTTCTTCTCACTCTCAGAGTAGTAAAGTAGAAAGCTCTCTTTGATGATGAAAAACCTGCAGTAGGCAGTGGACAAGGAAATAGGGAGGGTCCTTCAGATGCTAAGAGCACTCTTGGGGCCCCATACTCACAGTGGAGCTCATGGGGATGCTGGCTTATGCTTGTCCACACCAACTCACACCCCACATCAGCACAAGGGCCTCCACTGGTTGTGGCCATCCTTCCCGGCAATGCTCACACACCAGGGCAGTGCAGTGGAAGACCCAGGCCCACCGTCTAGCTCAGGCTACCTCCTTCCCCTGCCCTGACGCATCACCCTTGGCACAGCTGTATAGAGGTGGTTCTGTCCCCGAGCATCCTCAGCCCTTCGAACTATCACCTCCCGGCTTAGGGTCTCCTGAAAGCGTGGAGGGAGGAGCGGAAAAAACAGGATCCCAAGTTGGGTATTCAGGTGCAGTCACACAGGCCGGCCCCCTGTGACTGGTTGCTGCAGCCCTGAAGCCCACACAGGATGAGTTCAGAATTTCCTTGTGTCTCTGACTGTGTCACCACTCCCTTTCCAAACCTCAGGTCACTGCAACTTAAGTCTTTGCAGCTGTCCGGAAGCTGACAGCCTTGATGCCAACAGGTGGTATACATGGCCTGCCCTGGGGACTCTCACTCTTGAATAACTGAGTACCCTCCACCCAGCGCAAAGCCAGACACAGCACACACCTGGCTGATGACTGGTGCTGACTATGGCAAGACATCACATGGCCCCCTGGGCAAAGTTCCACTGGGCTTTCAAGCAAGTCCCAAAGTTTGGGGTCACCTGGTATGCCTGTCTGCTTCCTCTATGGTCCCTGCAAGCATGACAGTGATGCGGGGGAAGTCAACAGACTGTGATGAGCCTGCAAACTGTTGTATGCATGTGTGTGTGTGTGTGTGTGTGTGTGTGTGTGTGTCAGGGGGGTGGATGGAAGCAGGGGTTCAGAGCAAGGTATGTTGGAGCCATCTGGGACAGGCTCACAGTGGCCAACAGCTCTGTCTTCAGTGACAGAGTGTCCATAACTTGCTACTGGTCATGGTGGAAGGATTTACATCATGAAAATAAAATTCTAAAAACAAGAGCTAGTTGGTAAACCTTTACCAGGGTACCAGTGGTTGAAACAGCCCTCTTGGGGCCTAAGGGGCCAGAGTTCTGACACAACATGTAAAGCTGTAGTTTAAAGTGTTATCATCCTATATAGGCACTGGTTTGAGTCCTGGCTCTACCATTTCTGATTCAGCTCCCTGCTAACAGTCTGGGAAAGCAGCAGAGGATGGCTCAAGTGCTTGGGTGCCTGCACTCATATGGCTGATCCAGAAGAAGTTCTTGGCTCCTGGCTTTGAACTAGCTTAGCTCTGACCACTGTGGTCACTTGGGGAGTGAACCAGCAGATGGAAGATCTCTATCACTCCATGTCTCTGTCTCATTCACTATTTTTCTGTAACTCTACCTTTCAAATAAAGAAATAAATACTTTTTAAAGATTTTTAAATTTTTATTGGAAAGGCAGATCAGATTTACAGGAAGAAGGAGAAAGACAAAGATCTTCCATTCACTGGTTCACTTTCAACAGCCAGAGCTGAGCTGATTTGAAGCCAGGAGCTTCTTTCGGGCCTCCCACGCGGTGCAGGGTCCCAAGGCTTTGGGCCGTCCTTGACTGTTTCCCCACGGCACAAGCAGGGAGCTAGAAGGGAAGTGGAGCAACCAATCCTTGAACCAGCACCCGTATTGGATCCTAGCTCATGCAAGTTGAGGATTTAACCACTGGGTTATTGTGCTGGGCCCAAGAAATAAATGCTTTGTAATATTTTTTATTTAAAAGGTAGATTTATAGAGAGAAGGAAAGAGAGACCTCTCTTCTATTTGCTGGTCCATTTCCTAAATGGCAGCAATGAAGAGATGCTGAGCTGATCTGAACCCAGGAGCTTCTTCAGGTCTCCCACATGGGTACAGGGGCTCAAGGACTTGGGCCATCCTCTGTTGCTTTACCAGGCCACAAGCAGAGATTGGAAATGGAATAATTGGAATACAAACTGGCACCCATATGGGATGCCAGCGTCACAGGGTAGAGGATTAGCATGTCGTACCACTATGCTGGCCCCCAAGAAATAAATCTTAAAAGAAAAAAGAAAAAGTCATGAAGTCAGCAAATTCCTGAAGGCTCCACCCCCACACCATCCTTCGCAAGGCCACAGCTGTCAACCTGGGACTGCTGCCAGCTGCCCTCCTCCTCTCCCGGCTCTGGGCTTTGGCCTCACGCCTCCCTATTGTCTTCATCTTCGCTGACCCTCTCCACTCAGGCATGTACCCAATGCAGCCCTGTGGAGCCCAACCTGCTAATGCCAGCTCCTCCCTGGGAACACTTGAAGCCCACCTGCTGCAGTGACATTCTAGGCGTCCCCTGGCCACCCAGGGTGGCTACCGCTGCCCTCCAGAGTGCCTGAGCTCCTAGCATATGCTGGGTTCACTGCCTCCTCCACAATGTCTGCAGGGACCAGAACGTGGAAACTGGGCTGCTGCATCTGTAACAGCCTCCCTCCTGCTCTCCATCTGGTCCACCCCTGGGCACCAGCCCAGCCCCATGCCGCTGGAGCTCCTCCGGCACAGCCTGACTTGGCTGTGTACTTGGCACTTGGTACTTACTGCCACACCCTCCTGAAGAGTCTCTAGAGACCAGGGCTGTGCAAGGTAGGCGTCCTCTGCCTGTCCTATGGAACTGCAAAGAATTAAGAGCACAGGCTTTGGGGCCAGACAGACCCTCCATTTCCAGCTGTGGGACTTAGGGGAGCAGTCAGCTGACCACCCTGCACCTCAGTCTCTCCACCCAGAGAATGGGGGTAATGACACCTACCTTAACTAGCCATGGTTAGAACCAAATGCAATTTTATTCATCGCTCTGCCCCCTTCCTAGATGCCCCAGGACAGGGAGAAAGGGTGAGATGAGAGTGACAGGCTGCCCTCGGGCCCACCTCTGCTCCTCCTCTGCTGCCTCATGGCTTCTGAAATCCTGCTGTGGACTGCATTGTGCCTCATCCCCAGATGGGACTGAATTGGAGGCCAGGTCTTTAGGGATCATGTTGGATGAGGACCTAAGAGGAGGGCCCTTATTCAGCAAAGCTGTGGCCTCCATTTCTGTCTCTGCCTTTCCCTCCGCTCCCTTCTGCTTGCTCTGTTTCTCTCTCCTTCTCCCTCTGCCAGGTGAGGACATACCAAGATGGCAGCCATCTGTAAGACAGGAAGAGAGCTCTCCTGAGACCGATCCCAGCCTCCCAGCCTCAGGACTGTGAGAAATGTACATGAATGGTACCTCGTGGCCTCGGCTGCCTCAGACACATCCCTTCTTGCCTCCCCACTGCTTCCGGAGCCCCACTCCACTCAACAGAGCACAGGCATGGAGGAACCTGGCTCCTCCAGCTTCAGCCACAGGTGCACTCTTAGGTTTGCCCAGTGTTCCCCCTGCCTCTGTAAGACAGGGGAACTGACGCCAGTGCTGCGGTATAGTATGCAAAGCTGCCGGCTGAGGCACAGCATCCCCTTTGGGTGTTGGTTCAAACCCTGCTGTACCACTTGCAATCCAGCTTCTACCAATGCAACTGGGGAAGCAAAAGAAGATGGATCGTGTGCTTGGGCCTCTTCATCCACGCGGGAGACCAAGAAGAACCTACTGGCTACAGACTGGCCCAGCTTGGACATCTGGGGAGTGAATCAGTGGATTGAAGATCTCTTTCTTCCACTTCTTCTTCTCTCTATAACTATGCTTTCCCCATCCCCATCCCATTTTTTTGAAGATTTATTCATTTTTATTGGAAAGACAGAATTATAGAGAGAATGAGAGACAAAGAGAAATATCTTCCATCCACTTGTGTACTCTCCATGTAACCACAAAGGCCAGAGTTGAGCCTATCTGAAGCCAGGAGCCAGGAATTTCTTCCTGGACTCCCATATGGTACAGGGTCCTAAGGCTTTAGGCCATCCTCTGCTGCTTACTCATGCCACAAGCAGGGAGCTGGATGGGAAGCAGAACAGGTGGGATACAAACCAACGTCCATATGGGATCTAAGTGCATGCAACGCAAGGAGTAGCCACTTAGTCACTGAGTCATCGTGCCAGGCTTGTAACTATGCCTTGAAAAAAAAAAAAAAGGACAGGGTCACTGATGTGGGCCACCTATGGCCTATGTCTTTGAGAGTTGTAGTGACAACTACCTTACTGAGCCTACAAGTCAGCAGGAACTCCCTCTCTACCAGGTGCCTGACACGCTGGTGTGGGTAAGAGAGAAAACGGCCTTTTCCACAAAGCTGGTGGGAGAATTAGGGGTTAGATAGTGAATGTATGAGCAGATGCTCATAAATGCCATGGAAGAGAATAAAGCAGGAGTTGGGGGGGGGTGGGAGGGGACTGGGAGTGATAAGGTATCAGACAGCATGGCCAGGGACAGCCTAATTAAGAAGATGGCCTTGAGCGAGTGGTGGTGGTCCAGGCAGAAGAGCTACAGATGCAAAGGTCCTGGGAGAGAAGTGTGCCTGGCTCCGAGAGCAACTGCAAGACTGGCAGCATAGATCACACAACAAAGCAACAGCCCGGCTCGCAAGCCATTCCTGCCCGCAAGCCATTCCTCCACCCAAGCAGTGGCTGCATTTGTGCAGCTAAGTGCATTTGATACTCCCAGTTGACTTAAGTGCTCTTTGCATTTTACCAGGGCAAAATATAGCAGAAAGGTGCCAGCTCTTGCTCAGAGTCATGCTGCTGGTTGGCTCTGAGTTAGAGAGGCAGCCACAAAGGTCTGAGGGCATGAAGAGCATGGCCCATGTTGCCCAGCAGAAGGCTCACCCCTCCTGGCTGCTGTGAGAACAGATCATTGGGGCCATCATGGCAGGGCAGGAGAGGCGGTTTCCATATGAGCTCCCTGCCGTGTGTCATCAGAGATCAAGAGAAGAGCCAGTGGCTAGAGGCTGACACCTGGGAAGAAAATGTGACGTTCATGTCAGAGGTCGATCACCAGTGCTGGCTGACTCCTCTCCTGGTCTCA